ACAAAAAGAAGAAAAGAAAGCAATAAAAGAAAACTATATTTTGTTTGTGTCCTCCAGGTGACGCTATAAAATTGAACTTGAATAATTCGAATGCAAAAGTGACCAGTCCTATTTCAAACTATCTTGTCACCTCAGGTGGCACAATTTTATTTGTTTTCCGACTCAGACTTTTTCTGCATCTACTCTTTCTGGATCCATGAATGACGAGAGCATAGTTTTTTAGCACACATTTTTTTTATTTTTTGTCAGTTACATCAGCGTTTTTAAGCGTTGCGCAAACTACAATTAGCTGCCAAAATATTCTGAGATACTCAGAAGAAAAATTAGCCTGCCAGGCATTCAGATAGTAGGGCGCTGGCAAAAGATTAGTTGATTGCGAGCTCCCTAGTCTCCTCTCGTTTTTAACTCGTGGGGACGCGCGAGCGTACCACGAGGTATTGGAGGGACCGGGATATGCAAATGAATCACTCGCTCACTCGTAGTAGACGGACTTCGTAATTAATCGGGTCCGAACTCGAGAGTGCGAAGATCTATCGTTTCCGAAGAAGCACGCGCTCGCCGAAGTTCGGTGGTACCAAAATCTTTGCCGAGAGCGTGCATCGTTCGCTGCTCAGACTCAGAGTTTTCTTTGTGGCAAATTTTCTACAGTACGGTTAGAGGTCTTACCAAATTTAAGACATGGAGGAGTCTTTCAGATGAGCACGATGGTTAACTTGGGGATTGGATTTTAAGAGCCTTTGACTAGTCTAGGCGTTAAACTCGACACGAGAATATTAGCGTTTGCTCTTCGACTCCGCCGCAAGATCACGAGGGATATTTACTGAATTCCAGCTTGATGGAAAGTGATCTGAAAGTGACAAAATGTAATGCCATGCCATTCTTAAGAACCTGTATGAGACGAAGATGGATGTGATTTTGATCATTAGCTTGAAAATTACAGCGGAAATCGAGATAACAGAACATAATGTTTTGCGTGCTACTTCGCAGACCAGGTTTATCGGCTTTTTGTGAAACGTAATTATGTTCTTTCATTACTTCATCGCCATCGAATGCGTAGACATGTTTTTTTCTCGGTTAATGCAACTCGATCATCTTCAAACGGCGGAAGCTCCATGGAAAAGGCATCAAATTAAAGACTTTTCGCCAAAGCTATGTAATCAGCTTTAGTGGTGTAGTGGTAAGGTATAGTCTCGTCAAGCTGAAGGTGCCGGGTCGACGCCTACTCAATACTTTTCTTTTTTTCCTTCTTTCTTTTTTTCCGTTTCTGTTTTGTTTTGTTTGCTTATTTGTTTTGTTGTTTTTCTATAAATATATGCCTAAATAACTGTTATTTAATAGAGTGCAATAAACAGCAAGAAAAGTATCGTGTTTCCAAAGAAAAAATAGTATATTAAACATATGGATGAACAATCCGAATTTCAGTCTATCATTTCCCACAACTTACTGTGGGAAAACCAGAGTTGATAACTATCATTTGATTATTTTCTAAACATCGTTCCCACGAGTTGACGATAGTCTTTCTTTGATTTCCTATCGTGTTCCTTTATCGCTCACCGCCTACAATTTAATTCTCTTTACACTGAACGCCTGGAACAGGCTACAGAAAAATCTGCTCTCATTCAGTAAAACCACTGCCGTAGTGAAATATCTGTGGGGTATAAGTTTCACTCCCTCCCTCTCCTTTGTTCAAATTTTTCCTCCAAACAGGCCACTTCCGAGTAGGCTTTGGTAGATTGGGCTAGCATAATTTTAAGCATAATTCAGCAAAACGAGCATTATTTTAAGCTTTTATTTCAGTTTAGCACTGCTAGCATAATCCGAGCTTTTATGCGTTGAAAATGAAAAAACCCATCATAGCTCTAGAATAATTCGGTTTTTATTTTATTTCTGTTTTGTTTTTGGAAAATATTGAGGTCTGCGCTAAGGCCCATGGTCAAATATGGTCCGGCAGGCGACAGAGGTCACCCTGTGCATATCTGAGAGACTGCCTAACTATCTTGCCGCCGCCCAGGACGTCATCATGCCCTGCGAAGAAGATAAAGTCAACATGTAAAGTGAAGTGGTGGAGGCAACAACCTGATAATCTACCCCATTGGTCTTCTGCAGTTATGAAGGTTCTGCTGGTACAGCCCTCGTCTGCAGCCGCTGAACGAGTATTCTCTATTCTTAACTCATCGTTCAACGATTCACAAGAGCATGCTCTCGTGGACTATTTACAGGCTTGTGTAATGCTTCAGTACAATAACCGATAACACAGAGGTTAACAACATGCATAGTTGTCTTTATACTGAACTGAGGGCTTTGCCTGGATGGCGTCTAAAACAAGTATGCGGGCTTTAACTTTCTGACCCGGATTCAGAACCCAGAAACGGTTGATTTTGGTAGCATTTGTTAATCATTTGGCTTTTCGAGGTGCGCACATGCGTATTTGCGATGCTAAAGACTGTAAGACTGGAAGGTGGACTATATGAATGTTCATTAAAGTCAAAATTGATAGAGTTAAGCCACTGATGATCTTTATTTTCCTTAAAATCAGTGTAAAATCTAAGTAGCATAATTTCGGTGACAGAGAGTATAGTTTTCAGAAAGTAGCATAATTTTGGCATAATTTCTAAAAAATATGAGCACTGCTAAAAGCATAATATGCTTTTTTTCGTGCACAATCTACCAAAGCCTACTTCCGAGTTCCAAAAACCCTCACTTTCAAAATGAGGCTAAGTGCACAACCTTTCTAGTGAAAATGAGTTTCATTTCTTTTACTCGCCGGGAAATGGCTTACTGACATGCAGTCACGTGTCAACAGAAGTAATATTTCTTTGTAGGATTTTTATGCTCTTTCCTATAGGAATTAAACGTATAATGAAAACTTGCCAATACTCTATTTTCTAACAGTGGCTACTAAAACAAATTCGCGTGCAGTCTACGTGACAGTCACGTGTCAACGGGAGTCATGGTTCTTTCCTCGTGCAGGGCATTGTCAATCTTGCTTTTTACTCCAACCGAAGACCTTAGAGAGGCACTGCTAGGTTCTTTTGTACAACTTGGTTCATTCGTCACTTTGCTTGACCACAATCCGATTGTATTGCGGTTTTCTTGAGAGTTTTTCACGCTTTTTGCCGCATTCCTCTTCTGCATTTTTCTAGAGTATGCTGCACGTACGTCGCTGTTTCTCAAAACGTGAAGTATGAAGATGAACAAACCCTAAAAATGTGTGTATCGATAAATAACAAGAAAGTTAAGTTCCCTTATAAGGGTGAGAGAAAAGAAGAAATGAAGGCAAAATTTATAGTCAATGGTTAATCGCAGTACATGGTATCAGGTACCGCCCACCATCTCTACTATTCTATGTTCTATCATGTTAATTTTCTCGATCGCTACATTCCTTGAGACTACTGTCAAAGTCTGGAGTAAACTTCGAATACTTGTGTGGCAAAATATATAAATAAATAAATAAATAAATAAATAAATAAATGAACGAATGAGTGAATTAAAACGGCTTTTTTTGCCACCAAGCTAAGATTTGATAAAATAATATTTGCTCGCTGTCAGTTAGCCTGCGAAAACAGCTGACATTGTGCGACGCCACCACTGGTTTCCCCGCGTAATGACGTTGGAGAAACGAGCGGAGAAATTCCATACTGATCACGCGTCACTACCGGATGTGGGTAGTGCTTCTGATTGGTTAAAATCTGCTTCATGCAATTAGAAGCGCTTCCCAGATCTGGGTTGTGACACGTTATCAGTATAGACGTTCTTCGCCAAACGTCATTTCTTGGGGAAACCAGTGGTGGCGTCGCGAAATCAGGGCACCCAACGTCAATTATCGGAAAATATCTGTTCGAAAGACGATTTGAGATTTATCATCTAGAATTTTCGAAACATTTTTTGTAAAATTTCTTGCTTGCCTGCCTCTCCTAAGATTTTCGAACATCTAAAAACATGGTATAATTGCTCATTTTTAACGCATTTGTGCAGTAAAAAGGCCACCTAAGATTTTCTGGAGTCTTTGTTCTTTTTCAAAAAGGTAAGTTTTAATCCCTATAATTTTCGGACTTTCAGCCAGGAAATCTGAACAGATGAAAAATTTCTAAGGGATAAAAATATGCCTATATCTACCGTTTAAATACTAGAATACGTTCAACAATGAGTGTCCCTGCGAAATGTCGGCTGTTTCCTCAAACTACTCAAAAAGTTAATATGTTGGATTTTCTATTACCTGCAATGAGTTGAAAATAGTAAAGATGTACTGAAATACGAGTCCAGCATCTGTGACACTTATGACACCAAACACCCAGGTCAGTCCCAGAAGAGGAAACAAAACTACGCACGCTTTAACTCCTTGTCGAACTCTTTGCAGATGGGANCGAAATGTCGGCTGTTTCCTCAAACTACTCAAAAAGTTAATATGTTGGATTTTCTATTACCTGCAATGAGTTGAAAATAGTAAAGATGTACTGAAATACGAGTCCAGCATCTGTGACACTTATGACACCAAACACCCAGGTCAGTCCCAGAAGAGGAAACAAAACTACGCACGCTTTAACTCCTTGTCGAACTCTTTGCAGATGGGATGTTTTGTCGGCTTGCATTCTTAGGATCTCACGAACCACTCGAGCAAGTAAAACTGAGTTTATCTGCGTGGAGACAATGCATGAGAATAAGATATCTTTTGATGGTCAGTAGAAACCTTAGACCCTGTTTCTTTCTTTCTCTCAGATCTTGACTATAATTTTCAAGAAAAAAATAAATAAAGAAAACATAAAATATTATCGATATATAATCGATCAACGCTCGGACGTATGAAACACCTGAAGCATATCATACTTTGTATGACGTCACAGCCTCCCCTCCACCGCAGCGCTCAATCCTAGATGTGTTTATTACCCGCAAATGAATGAATGAATGAAATGCCGTGGATGAGAGGACAATAAACGTGTCCTCTTTACATTATGTGTTAACATGTTAGCAGTAAGCTCTGACGTCAGCATACAAGGGCGCCATTGGCAGCCGCTATCAGTCCATTTATGGGCTTACTGTAACCCACCAAGCCTGTGATATGAAAGGTAGCTAAATATTCTGTTTTTTTTTTTCTACATGAATCGTTAATAATTTCAGATTTATGTCTTACATTTTCATGGCAAATATTTGATGATTATATCAATTTTTAATCATTTACAGATAAGCCTCAATATTCCGTAAGCAATCACTTTTTAACTTGTTCTCTTGTACTTACTTATTCAGTTATGGAAAATTTTTACTTTCTTACCCTTACCGTGCAAACTAAGAGAACAGGCGCAACAAACGTCCAGATAAGGTTATGTTTGAAGGAAACCCAGCAACTAAAAAAAATATACCAAATCAAGGTGTTACTAAGAAAGGATTGCTTGCTAAAACTTGACGGTTAAAATTGGAAATGTTGAAGAAAAATTACGAAGACTTATTTTCAATTCTTTGAAAACCAATTGTTTAGGCTGTTTAGGCCTGCAACATGAACGTACTTATAATAATTCCTCTGAAAACGGCAGTTTGGGCAAATTTCATAAGCAACTTTGTAATAAATAAATAAATAAATAAAAAATGGTAATAAAAAATAAACAGATTCTTGAAACCTCCAAGTTTTTCTTGCTCCGTTTCTTTCGGTAGTATTAAGATCTGGCTTGTTTACTTACAAATGATCTTGAACATAGCTTTCTATCCCGCCATCTTGAATGGAAGCAATCACGATCGATAAAACCACAATAAAAAGGGAGAGGCCTAAGGTTTGATTGAAAACGAAAAAAAAAAAAAAGGAAAATTTAGACTCAGTTTGGTTACGTCAGCTACGTCAGCGTAGCACAGACCCTTCTGAGAACTGTGGTGTGGTACAAATTCCTCTGAATAGCAAGTCTTAATTGCAATTTCGTGTAAGGGACGGACCATTAGAAAACTTACTGCGGGCGAAGTACAAAAAAAACATTCGCGCGAGGGAAAATTTAATGAATAAAATTCATGCACACCAATTAACCCTAAAAAAAATTCATACAAGGAATTTGATAACGAAAAAAAATTCCTTCAGCTTGAAAATTCCCCACCCCCTCCCCCATAACTTTTCTAATGGTCTGTCCCTAAGTACGTAAGGAAAGTAAGATAAACCAGGAATCAATTAACGAAATGCTTTTGATTCCGGAAGTGACTGACTAGTCACGACCTCTTGACTAGATCTACAAACTGGCCATTTTCTGTAGTAGGCTTTTGCTTTAATGCTTACCCCATGCCACTCCATAGAACAAACGCAATCTGATGACCGTATTGAACACTTTGACAACCATCAGATACAGATAAACACCCTCAAATAACATCCAAGCAAATCCCACTAGATAGAAGTAATGAATCATGGCTGCTACAAACACACACAGTTCCTATAAAGAAACGGGATTCACCGTCATCATATTGTCCATAACGGCACGCTTTTCATTAACCTTCCCCCACAAAAAATAAATGATTAAAAGTAAAAAATAAAATAATAATAATAATCAAAAAAACTCTCTTGATGCAATGCAAACAAACCAAAGATACTAAAGAGAACTAAAGAGCAATCGACCACTAAGCCACATTTTTTTTAGCACATTTCCGTGAAATCGAGCTCATGGGAATGCCATCTAATGATCCGTTAAGTTATTCACAACTAAACTATTTTACATCCAAAAGTCTTTCATTTGTGATTTTTCTTTTTAAATGTTTTGGAGATCAAGTTATCATCCAAGCCAACAAAAATGCTCATTATTTCTTCAACTTTCAGATTAATTCACGTCTTTAGCTTACCTTAACTTCTGTGGCATCAATTCCAGCAAGAAACGTAATTTGTGCTATCGCTATGGCGACCACAAGGTTAAAGCGGATTTGAGTTTGGTCTTCTTTCAAATTCCTGAACGAGGCAACAAGTAATTGAATATCGTTGACATGTTATTTTTTTCAAAGCGGGAAAATCCCATCTTAAGGTGCTTCTGCTTCTTCTTAATTTAAAAATCATAAATGAACGTCTGACAAGCTAATCCGGAGACTAATTGCGCTTCGAGGGGTAGTGAAGAGGGCGGCTGACTCCCCGTTCCCCTCCCTTGTGGTTTTGTTATTGTCATAATTTTGCATTTACCAAGTATTAAGATTCAATGCAAATAGTTTAGAAACAAAATACGTCTTAATATGCTATGGTTAAACATTTGGTGCTGAAAAATCTGTTGAAAGCGCTCGTTGGACGATAAATTTCTTATAGCCCCATGTTTTTCTGTTGAACGTCTAGTCTGTTCAAGCGCTTACTGTTTGCATGTTGCAGGCGACAATCTTGGTTTCACTCTTCGCCAGGTTATACTTGGTGCATTTGAAACCAAGATAAAAACGCTTACCTCGACCTTGATGATTCCGGATATCACAAAAACCAAATCTAAATGTCTGAGCTCTTTTATAACGGTATATTATTTGTAACTCACATGAGGACGCAATATGCAACAGCGGTGAGTGCTTCTCCGATAAGCGATAGAGCACACCCAACGTAAGTAATGACTTTCAGTGCCACCTTATGATCTGCTGGAACCTGTTGGAAAGATAGTTTAAAAAGTGTTTGCAAATACGCCAAATCAATAAAGACAAATATTGGCAAGAGTCAGCGCCCCTTATTGCCAAAAAAAAAAACTCTCAATGGCGAAAACAGGCATGGCCTCCTTATTACTCGAGTCGCCAGAACTATAAATGACAATGTGAAAAAGGGTTCATGGCGCCACGATTGTAGATGCTCCCGAGTCTTTTAAGATTCGTGGTACAGTAAAACACCGCGAGTAAGAACCTGTATTTTCGCAATTTAGCCCAAACAGGTTCTCACATAAATGGTATAATTAGCACAAATTTAGGCTATTTGAGGTTCTTAAATAAGTTCTTATTTTCTGAAGAAAAAATACAGTGAATATTAAGAGGCATTCAGTTTATTCTTTATATCAAATCTGAATATCAAATTAAAATTTATGTGAAAATCAGTTTAAGAAGAAATATGAAGCAGTGACAACATGAATTTTATTGTAATTTTACATGTATTGTCACATG